CTGACTGCGAAGATATATAATGTTATTCACATAAATTTCTTTAACTATATAAGATGTTAATTTTAACAAGGTATTTAACTTTCCAATAAAAGCCTGAAGTATTCCTTCAACTAACTCTTCATTATTACAAACATTAAAAACATATAAATGGTGCCATTAGAGAAACTACCTATTTCCGAATAGAAAAAAAAAAAAGGAATACAAATGAAATTAAATGTAAATAAATATAAATAAACAGACTCATCCTTAAAAGCATAAAATGACCCCCTAGCTTCCATATACATTCTAATGAGCCCCTAAAAAACTTTAAATCCAGATAGAAATGGGAAGTTTTTCAAGAGAAAGGACTTATATTCTAAAGATGTAACTGAAGAGCTGACGAGAAACAAAAAAACTTAGCAATTGAGTGGAGTCGAATTTACAATCTGTTTCATGACTAATACTATTTAGCTTTGTAAAAAGTGCTGCTCATTCAAACGTGGACACACGATCTGGGAAACCATGAAACACTAATCTTGCAGAGCTCAACCTGATAGATTACCACTGCCTTTTAAAAAGTTGGTCTTTTGCACACAAGAGGTGAAATATACTCCTAGCTTCCTCTCCACTCCCGATATTTAGTATAATTATGCCCATCAACTCCCATTTTTTTCCTGAGCTCAAAGGCACTCATTCCTTTTTGTACTTAAATATTTACTATGAATTATGGGAGAGTGTATGCATTCTCCCTTTTTCTCTAAGTAAAACTTCTCATTTTATGGGAACATGTCAGTGCTTCAAACTTAAAACCTACATATTTCTTATTGTCTCCCACAGCTACCTGTCTGTGCTTTTTTGGTTACGGCCAAGGAGACAGAAATCAAACACTTGAGTCAAAAGACAATGTGCCTTCTGAAATAAATTTAACTATTTATTAAAGTCTTTTTGAAATAAATTTAATTTAGTAGAAGAGAAGGTCCTTTTCAATTCCTTGTATGGTTGACCTCAAACACTGAAATAATGTCTGGAATGCCAGCATCTCCTGTCGTAAGACAACTCAGAAGCTAAGGCCACGCTCTGAGGACAGAAGAGACACTTAAGAGACCGGGTCTTAACGACACTGGGGAACCACCATGGCAATCTTGGACTACATCAATCCTCGGCTGCCTACTTCTGGCATTATCGTTCATTGAGAGACAAACAAACTTTAAAGCAATATTTGTACTCTATTACAGAGTTTCTTTGGAGCCCAAGTTATCATTATGCTGTTGGCCTGAGATACTCTTCTCTATATGCAATCCAGGTCCAACCATTTCTTTGTTTCCTAGGCTTCACCAGAGATTACCTCAAAACTCAGAGGAAAGACTTCCTCTAACTGTTCAGCTTAGATTGAACTTTTCTAAAGATATATTCTTAGTCCCTATATTTTTCCCTCATACCACTCTTTATTGTGGATGATTTCATATTTTTGTTGTTACCTGATTAATGTACATACTCTATCATATCTTATGAAATTATAGGGATTTTTTTTTTTTTTCTGGTCAATAGCACTGTTGAAATAAAGTAAAAAAGGCATAGAATCAAGCCAGCCACTAACTATATCTGCCTATCCACAATGAATCAAATCCACGATGCTGAACATTTTTAGCTATGTTTAGGAAGTTAGAAGCCAAGGGCCTGGAAACAAATACTAATGTAAGTTGATTATATTAAGAAGTGATACTTAGCAAAATCATTTGCTATTATTGTAAAGAGATTTTATTTAACTTGAAGATTTTCACTTTCATTTTGAGTAAGAAAAGAAAGCCTTAAGGAAAAAAATTCTAAGAAAACAAAGGGTTTATCAAAGAACGTATTGAGCACTTAATTCCTGATAAATATGCAGACACCTAGTGACTGTTTACAAACAATAAAAAATGACTGTGTTATGGAGAAGCCCACAATGTCAGACCAGAGACACTACTGGTAAACAGAAGAACCACTAAAGGTCAGTCAATGAATGTCTCTTACAATAGATGAATTATGAGTTCTAATTTGGAGATGAGCAAGAAGAGAATGATAGATAGGAGTCAGCCAATATCCAGAGCTGAGATTCTCTCACAACTTTTGAAAACATTAACTCTACTGGATTCCTGGTGAAACTGTGAGGATTGTCACTAACAAATAGTCCAAAAAAATCCCCTCTATTTCTTAAAGAGACTCAAATGTTTTATTATGATTAACTTATGAACTTGTTTTTTGCTTATCTAATTTTTCTTTACAAATATTTAAACTGTCTACCTTATTTTATAATAAATGCCTTAGATTTGAACATTCAAAAGACTCTTACATACATCACTGCTTGTAAGAGACTGGTTCTGTGGTCAACAAAAACCAGGAAGGTTATTCTGGGGTGATTCAGCAAACGAGGAATGAAATGTGGGGTTCCTGAATCCCATCCAGGGCTCACTTCACTGTCAGAAGCGTGGAAGTGAAAAGGGTTTACTTTTTCAAATTATTTTTTTTAAACCTGTATGGTTATTGTAGAATGTGCAATTTCTTAGAATCCAGTCTTTTCAAAATAGTATGCTACAGTATGGAACTTTCAAATTCATCCAAGTAGAAAAAACTAAGATGCATGTATTCACAAATCAGTTTCTAGCACATTAGGTACAGGTACTAGACAACTAGTGTACATTAGACAAATACCTACATCTAGTGTGCTGCAGGTGAGCCACTCAATAGCACATACCTTCACATGATCAAAAACCCACGTGTCCAGTTGTGTTACATCGTGGGCACCAAAATCTGCACTGGAAGCATTGTAAGTGTGTGCAAAAATATGGTTTCCAAGGTCACTTGAAGAGGAAATTGGGGGGGGGGAATTTTGATGACATGCCATGGACCATGGTGTATGCTTGAACATATGCTGTTGCTTTAGTTCTCACAGTAACATTTTCCAACTTTACAGATACAAGTGAGTTGTAATTTAAAATGCTAAGAGAAAATATCACAAAGCTAGTTAGTATACAATAGCGCAAAAGTAAACAACATAGTTTGTCTTCAAGTAAGGATGAAACTAATCAAAGAATTTGGGCATCTAGGGATGGTACCATCTAAAACAGATTAAATCACCTGTTTTACAAAATTCCCTAACCAAGAAGAAAATTCAAATATTTCAATTCTTTTGTTCATAAAACACATGCATTTTTCTCAATATATGAGAAAAAATATTGATAATTGCCAAATAGTTTGAAAAGGTCAACAAATATATTAATCTTATGCACTTGTACAGTTTTATTAAGGATCTAATTAATCTGGTGAATTTCTGAGTTAGATAGCCTCTTAAAGGTCATAAGGAAGAGATAAAATAATGACAATATCTTATGATAATGACAAGCTAAGCTCTAATGATACTGGTTCCACTCCTCAACCATTCTACTCTTCAAATCCCAAGTAAAGGTCTGAGTGAGACTGCAAGTTACTATAAGAAATGCAACACTTCTATTGGATTGTCTCCAGTTAAGGCTGTTCATACTGTCCTATGAACTGTAGTCAGAAGTAGGGAGGTGAATTTGGTAAACCATAGCAACTTCATCCTCACCACTACCAAAAAAAGCTTAACTCCCTGCTGCTTGGAAGAAAAGCTATAACCAACCTAGACAACATATTAAAAAACAGAGACATTACGTTGCCAACGAAGGTCTATCTAGTCAAAGCTATGTTTTTTCCAGGAGTCATGTGTGGATGTGAGAGTTGGACCTTAAAGAAAGCTGAGCACCAAAGAATTGATGCTTTTGAACTGTGGTGTTGGAGAAGATTCTTGAGAGTTCCTTGGACAGCAAGGAGATCCAACCAGTCCATCCTAAAGGAAATCAGTCCTGAATATTCACTGGGAGGACTGATGCTGAAGCTGAAGCATCAATACTTGGCCATCAGATGCAAAGATCTGATTCATTGGAAAAGACCCTGATGCTGGGAAAGACTGAAGGCGTGAGGAGAGGTGATGACAGAGGATGAAATGGTTGGATGGCATCACCAACTCAATGGACATGAGTTTGCGTAAACTCTGGAAGTTGGTGATGGACAGGGAGGCCTGTCCCTGCTGCAGTCCATGGGGTCGCAAAGAGTCTGACACGACTGAGTGACTGAACTGAACTAAGGGAGTATATAAATGGCAAGCAGTATGAGTTTTTGGACCTGCTCTAAATGATAATGTTCTGTTGACTATCATACAGAAAATTCTGAGTATCTGTTATGCTTTTGAGATATAGAATAATCTTTAATGATCCTATTGTTATAATTTATAGTATAATTATACCCATGGCTAAAGGCCCAAACCTTTTCATTAGGTGAAATGACTACAATGCTCCCACTAAAAAGCACTTAATAACATAAAATTCAAGTGGAATCCAGCTGATTCTAGAAAATGATGCAAATACATTTTCGCATCAAGAGATGTTCTCATACTTGCAGATTCATGCACAGAAACACAATAAATACCACAAATCTCAATGGCATGATCTTGAATACATGAAAATAGAAGCTATAAATATAAATTTTAAATTTTTAAATCTTTATGTGATTATATACTAACTTCTTAATAATCAAAGTAAGTGAACATCATCACAATGAGATCATTCTAATAAGCATTCTGGTCAATATTTCACATGAATTAACTTATTTAACACCCAAAAGAAACCTTTAAGATAGAAATTATTATTATCACATTTTACAAAAAAGAAAACTGAAATTTAGAGAAGTTATCTAGCTTACCCAAGATTAAAAAGCTGTTAGATGTTAGAATCATATACCATTTCACTGAATTCAAGGTATTTAAACTGTATAATCCAACATGTTAAGTACAACTAAGATTTAAAAAAAAATCAAACTCACACATCTATTATAATATACACTCATTTCAGAGATGTTAAATATGTCAAAACATGTATCTCATAATAAGTAAAATGTATATATTTTAAATTACCATATTGATTTATTGCCTACTTAATATCTGGGGAAATATAATCAGTGACTCCTACCTTTGGCAAACATAGTCACGATGTCTGGGCTTCCCCAGGACCACGTGTACTTGGTTTCATTAAGAAGAGAATCAAATTCTACAGGATTTTCCTTCCACCTTCAGGTAATTGAGAAAAAAAAAAACAATGACAATAGTAATATTTAGATGGTGAAGTATGAGTATGGCTCCTCAAGAAGTACTTTTCAAATAACAACAAAGAGGATTAACTGCAGAAGAAATGCAAAACTAACAACAGATTTTGTTATCTGTATTATACTACAAATTTTTTTTTTTAAAGCTTACAACAGTTAATTGACTTCTTACTAAAATACAGAATCACTTTTGAACTTTTGAGAGTTAACATCTAGGAAAACCAGAGATCCATCCAATCATATTCTATCAACAGGACACGATGACACAAGATTAAAGTTTTATTCTTGAGTCAGTCCCAGTGTGTGTTTGACTTAGGCAAGCTAAATGACTTGTCAAAAGGATCTCAAAATGTACTTCGCTTTGTGTCATGATTCAGTATTAAAGAAGAGATATTTATACAATCAATCTCTTTGTTTGATAAAATCATCTAAAGAGACAGTACCTTTGGCAATTGCGCTGACATCTTCATAAAACCCTGCAATGATGGCCACGTGCCCGGGCCAAGACCCGTCGGCACCTGCGTGTGAGATGTCCCAGCTGCCTTCGTTCATTATGACATTCCTGAAAGGTATCACAGACGAGGAGTCAGCGCACACTATGACCACATGCTCTGGTAAGGCTTTAGAAAAACAAGACCACCATAGAAGAAATCCAATCAAAAGAAGGAGCCAAAATTTAAGAAGGAACATTTCTGATTCCAGCTGGGCTCAGCCCAGTTCCTTCCACCAGTCGGATTCCGTGGCATAAGAAAGCCCAAGGAACTTTCTTAGACAAGGAACCAACCAACCACTGCACAGAATCACAAAACAAAATACAGGCTACAGCTCTAAGTCACAAAGTATTGAAATGCTGTGCTATATAAGAAATCACTGATACACAAAGTATTACTTTGTCAGTGTTAAATTTCATTAGGTGTGATGATGGTTTTGTGATCATGTTGAAGTCCTTGTTCTTAGGAGATACACACTGAAGTGTTTAGGGGTAAAGTGTTAAAATACTTTGCTTTCTTCAGGAAAAAATAATTAAAGTTTAAGTGTGTTTATGTGTGTGTGTGTGTATTGAGACAGAAAATGCAAATATTAAAAATGTTTAAAATGGTCATATCTAGATTAAGGATATACAGATGAATATTCATGATATAATCTTTTCAGCATTTCTGTAGTTAAAAGTTTTTCAAAATAAAAAATTAAGAGAGGAAACAGCTATACTCTCAATTAGGAGTTAAATTATCTTTCTAAATGTGAGATTCAGTTCAGTTCAGTCGCTCAGTCGTGTCCGACTCTTTGTGACCCCATGAATTGCAGCATGCCAGGCCTCCCTGTCCATCACCAACTCCCGGTGTTTACTCAAACTCATGTCCATCGAGTCACTGCTGCCATCCAGCCATCTCATCCTCTGTCATCCCCTTCTCCTCCTGCCCCCAATCCCTCCCAGCATCAGGGTCTTTTCCAATGAGTCAATTCTTTGCATCAGGTGGCCAAAGTATTGGAGTTTCAGCTTCAGCATCAGTCCTTCTAATGAACACCCAGGACTGATCTCCTTTAGGATGGACTGGTTGGATCTCCTTGCAATCCAAGGGACTCTCAAGAGTCTTCTCCAACACCACAGTTCAAAATTTTTCGGCGCTCAGCTTTCTTCACAGTCCAACTCTCACATCCATACATGACCACTGGAAAAACCATAGCCTTGACCAGATGGACCTTTGTTGGCAAAGTAATGTGTCTGCTTTTTAATATGCTCTCTTGGATGGGGAATACATGTAAAAAAAAAAAAAAAAAAAAAGATACACTATGGTTGTGATAAAAAAAAAAAATTAAATTTAAAAAAAAAAAAAAAAAGAAAAAAAAAATATGCTCTCTAGGTTGGTCATAATTTTCCTTCCAAGGAGTAAGCATCTTTTCATTTTATGGCTGCAATCACCATCTGCAGTGATTTTGGAGCCCCTCAAAAATAAAGTCTGACACTGTTTCCACTGTTTCCCCATCTATTTCCCATGAAGTGATGGGACCAGATGCCATGATCTTAGTTTTCTGAATGTTGAGCTTTAAGCCAACTTTTTCACTCTCCTCTTTCACTTTCATCAAGAGGTTTTTTAGTTCCTCTTCACTTTCTGCCATAAGGGTGGTGTCATCTGCACATCTGAGGTTATTGAGATTAAAACAAGTCAAAAGTTTGTTTTGCTAAAATGTATCACCAATCTTTAAACTAAGGGTGATATGCAAAATCTGGAGAAAAACCCAAAAGCAACAGTAATGCCATTGCAGGTGAAAGGCCAGCAGAGCAACAAGTTATGAAACATGAATTCATTTGTAACAGTTTTCAAGCTGAACTCTCAACTCTCAAAATATTCTGGAGGGAAGTACCTAAAAGTGCTGATTTAGATACTTTTAATTGACTTATAACCAAACAGACTTTGGTAAAATACATACATAAAAAGTGAAAGGCTTGAAAAACCATTAAACCACATGTTAAGAGAGAAATATTTTCTAACTTCTTCAGTTCTATAATGGAAACTGAACTCAAGCAAAAACAGGGAGGTATAAAACAATGTGGATACCTCTCTTGAGAAACATTTTGATCAGATCGTAGTTTCAAAAAAATGAAGAACACCCTGGGGAGAAAGAGGCGCTGTCAGAAACACTCATCTTTGCCTGAACAACCAGTATATTTTAATGTCATTAACTTGGCAATGAACTACATTTCTCTCCTCTCTATGACAACTAAGAAATGCAACCAAATATATCATCCCAATTTTTAAACTAGTCATAGAAATTTATGTTACATATTTTTGTATACTGAACCTAACCCTGACAACCTTATTTTCCTACTCATATTTTCCTATTGCCCTCAGTTGCTTGTTTCTTTGTATCCTTTAATATATTCTGCATTTCTTTGATGCACCATAAATTTATTCCTGGAAATCTGACATAGAATTCAGGTTCATTCATTCCTCTAGCAGTCAACAAATATTGATGAACTGCCTACTATGTTTTAGGCATCAGAGATAATGTAGTGTACAAAACAAAGTCCCTGCCTTAGAGGAAGTTGTACATGGTAAGTAGTACTATAAAGAAAACCAAATCAGGATAAAGGCATAGGAAGCAATGGTGACAGGTAGGGACAGGGGAAAGAAGACAATTTCAGATAAACTTCCCTTGAATTTGAGTTTTAATCTCTCCACAGTAGCATTAGGAAGGGCTTTTGAGGGGCTTGCTATGAATAAAAAAAAAAAAGTATAGTTGATTGCAAGAACCCCACAGGTCCAAAAAATTAAATATTTCTTTTCAAAGCCACTTAACAGAATCCAAAATTATATATTACTTAGTGATATAAATTAGGAAGGCTTTATCTTATAGAAAACATATTTTGAATAGAAATTTATATGTTTTAGCTAAATACCTTTGTAATTGGCAATTCACTGAAATTTATGCTTGTCATTACTTAAAAATTGAAGTCTTACTTTACAAAACAGAAAAAAAGATAATATACTGAGTTGTAAGCCAGGATTCAGAAATCAGGACAAGTGAGGCCAAGCAGCCAAAGTCATGCATTTCGACTACCTGGTATCAACTTCCACAATAATAGAAGTAACTGTAGTAGGAAACACACTTGCTAATTTCTATGACAAAGGCAGAGGCATATGTGCCCTACTCTCTTTTTCACCATCACCCCCTACCCAATGTGAGATAAACAGTATCAGCGTAATTTCCAGAGATGTCTTTGTACCAGCTGACACGCTTACCTAACAAATGATACCCTAGAATTTCCATCTTCATCTAATTCATAAAGTTTACCTCTTCATAGGCCATCAGCGACAAACAGCACTAATCATTTTGCTGGGGGAGGCAGGGGTATAAACTGAGGAGTCATTCCATGAACCAAAGGAGAGGTAAAATAAATGTCGAAGATGGAGGTGAAGAACACGAAGTGAACGAGCAAGCCCAAAGTAACGTACAGCAGCATATCCAGAGGAACTAATCTCCAAGAGAAACTGGAAAGAGGGAGCAAAATTAAATCTGAGTAAGCCTTAGTGCAAACAAATATGTTTTCAACTTATTTGATGACTAGAGCTGCCTGCCTCATTTTTCAGTCTCAAAAACTTCTTAGGTTGGTGGATACTTTTCATTTCCTCCGTCTTTCAATAAGCGTCATTGTTCCGCGGCTACTTGCCTTATCTACATGGGTAACTGTTTTCAAGTTGTGGTAAGAGGGCTTCCCTAGCGGCTCAAACCGTAAAGAATACGCTGGCAAAGGGGGAGACCGGGGTTCGGTTCCTGGCTTGGGAAGATCCCCTGGAGATGTGGAATGGCAACCTACTCTAGTATCCTGGCCTGGAGAATTTTATGGACAGAGGAGCCTGGCGGGCTCTAGTCCATGGGGTCATGAAGAGTTGGACACGACTGAGTGACTTAAAAAGAGAGAAGAGAGTTCTTAACATAAGATCTACCCTCTTACATTTTTACGTGTAAAATACAGTATTTCAAATGACAGGCACTGTTATACATCAGATCTTGACAACTTATTCACTTTGGATAAGTGAGATTTTACAGCCATTGAACATCACCCCCCTACCCCCACCCATCATGAGTTTGACTCTTCTGGATTCTCTCAGACAAGGAGAAATGTGCACATTTGTCCTCCTGTGACTGACTTGTTTCACTGAGCATTATATCCTCAATGCCATAACCATTACATTGGCAAAAACTTGGTATTGTAATCTGTTTAATTTTGTATAGTCTGTTAACTTATTGTGGCTTTAGTTTACATTTCCCTGGTAATCAATAATGTTGAGCTACTTTACATGAATGTAATGGATATTTTTTAATCCTCTTTTATCCCCTTTTCATTTTTTAACCGTGTTTTTTCAAAGAGCAGTACT